TTTTTATTGATGTTGTTTATGACTTTTTTAAAGAGTTGTTTACCATATTAGATCATTGATGAAAATGTTACTTGTATATTAGTGTACCTATGTATTAGTTACTTGTGTGTTAGAACTGCTCATTTAATACAACTCATTAATATTGGTCTGCATGCCTCAATATTGGATTCCAAATGAGTCTGATTATATGGACTGTGTTTCCTAGAATAGTAATGCTGAGTATTTGTGCATTAAAACACAAATTATTTTATTATAATTTTATTTCCTTTCATCTCTTCTGCATTTGAGTTAAGGGATTGTATTGATTTTTTTATGAGGCAAGTAAGCTATATTTTATGGACTTAACTTTAAGTAGTGAAATTTCTTTTTAAGGGAGTTGTATCTAATTAGGCTGAACAGTATTTCCCAAAGTGTGGTATGCATACCCCCAGAGGTACGAGAAGAGTTTGGTGGGGGTACGCGTTGCACTGGAGTTTGGTGGGAATATGCACTGCACCGTGCTTAGCTGCGCCTAATTCTACGTTCTCATGAGTACGAGGGGTATTCAGTGTTATGAAAATTATAGAAGGGGTACACATATGTCAAAAGCTTGGGGAGCACTGGAGGAGATTCAAAGAAGGCCATATTAGTCAGTTTTGTTTTTCAAACTATTGTACATTCCCTCCAAGGATCTAATTTACCAAACGCATTGAATCTGCTGCAAGAACTTACACATGATTCAGATTACAATAATACAATGAATATTGAATGAATAACAAATGAAAGTAGTGCTGAAAGTTGAATTTTGCCTATGGAAATAAGGATCAGTGAATATGAGATAGTTATTAAGTGCATCAAAGTTTTAAAGCCCCCCAAAATCAAAATGGTCATAAAAAATAAAGTAGGGAAATGATGTAAGAAATCATCAGAAGTGGTGAATTGGAATACCAAAGAAACATTTTTTGTGTATTTTTAAATATTTTTGCTCCAAGTTTAGAAAATTAGTAGTGTGAGTCATTCTTTATGTCTATGATAGCAGCAGAAATAAATCATCCTGGTATGAAGAAGAAATAAGTACAAGTAATTTTTGGTCCATTATATCATTCATATGTCAAAACTAGTTCATCACAAACTAGTATGAATAATAGAGTGATTTTTTTTTTCCCATTAAGAACTCCAGTAAATAGCTTGCTCTGTTTCTAATATTGAAAGTAGATTGTTTATTTCTTCTGGTTTTTGTATGATGGAAGAGAACAAGAGTGATGATTTTCTAGGGTGTGATTTTGGTTTTGACTGGGGGGGGAAAAACAGAGTAAAATTAAAAAAAAATGTGTCAGTGATTCAGACAAATGTGCTGAAACTAAAGCTGTAATATGAATGTTATACTATCTTCCAAATAAAGGAATGAGTGCCAATTCCAGATAAGGGTTAATTCAGAAACAGAATACTTCATGACTAATGGCCTTTCTTTTATCAAAGAACTAGAGCATAAGCTAATAAGTAGGACATATTGCAGAAACCTCAGAAGGACTATATGATTAAAATTCTTCCAAGTGTATCCATGGACATGAATGATGACAATGGGTATTTCTGAGAGTGAAATTGCTCATAAGTTTTATTTTTTTATATAACTTGCTCATACCATGTGGCATGATTTGAAATAACTTAGTTTGTGTTAATAAACCCCTATTTTGTTTTGCTCTGACTGAACATGTGAGCAAGGAAATTCTAATGTGTATACACACACAATTATTCAATCTGCTGATTTGAGATGCCTTAAAATAGTCATAGTTAGAACCATTTATTATTAACCTGGCTCATGTATGAACTTTCATAAAAAATGAATGAATGAATGGAAAGGTAAATGGAAAAATTGATTGCATGATATACTTATTAAGTTTATCATCTATATTCTTAAAATATTTAAAGATGCACATGTATGAATAATTGATGTACATATTATTATATATCCAAGTTTACAGGATCAACTTTAAAAAAAACCCACATCCAAATAACCTGATTTTTAAAAATAGTAGTGCTTAAAGTTTGTCAGAGATCTTAAAACCCTTTTAGTTTCTTCATCTCCCATGAAAGCAGTTTCCAAACCCAGTAACTTTATTTGCATACCTTGTGATCACAGTCTGCCTCCTAATCTGCCTCCCACCACAGATGGAATTCAAAACAAAATAAGGGAACAAACTCTGCCTTTACCTTATATATAAATGAGGAAGAGAAAATGGCAAGAATGTTATTGTTGACATCCCCTCAAGCAACCCTTGACTCACATTAGCAATTGACCTGCAGTGAAATACAAAGATCTTTCTTTAAGGCTTCCAGAATTGTATTCCTTCCTTTTTTGCCTCCAATGTAATCAAAACCCATATTTCCCCCTGTGTTTTTTTTCCTGGCTTTAGGCAGCTTGGGCTAGTTAGCACTATTTATTTATCTCTGCAGTCTGGAATGGAATTGTTGTTGGTTTTCAGACATTACAATATAGGGCCATAGTCTTAATTTAGTTTAAACCAGGATTTCTAAAAACTTGACCTAGGTCATCATGACATAGAAATCCAGGATCTGAAGTTCCAAGAATTGGGAAATCATATCTTTATTAGAGTACATATGATATGACCGTGTTTACTTTTTAATGAAAATTACAAAATAGGTAACATCTTAATAAAAAAGGCAATATATATGTAAATTAGTTAAATACATATAGTTTTTATTCAAATGATAAGCTCTTAGTGAATATTAATATATTTTTAGTGAATAATCTCCTGATATGATCTTCCAATAAAAAAGTGTATTGAGTCAAATTGAATTGAATTCTCCATATATCCTGTTAGTTTTCTGACTTTGATTTTTTTGAGTACCATTTTTTACTACATTTAAAGAGCCTCCTCTCTACCATACCCCCTTTCACCTCATTTTAGAGAATTAGCTTTTCTTCTCCCTTGCAAAGAAATAGAGCATTAAATGCATGCCAGTTGAGTTACTGAAGCTTAAAGCTTTGCAAGATTGAGATACTGTCTATTGCCCATTTCATTTCTCATAAGACCAATTATCTAAAAAAAAAAAAAAAATGCCCACAAAGGTTCTGGGCATATGATTACCTCATATTGCATATGATCTTTCCTGTCATTCATTAGTCAATGTCTCAAGAATTTTAATGTTTATATATAAAGGGACATGACAAATATCCCTAAATCTGAGCCTCTCAAAATTTTTTCTAGCTCCTGGGACATCCTGAAGACATAAAGTGATAGCTGTTGACATTGAAATGCTAATCACAGAGTAGCAGCTAGACTAAAACAAAAAAGGAAAGAGAAATTAAAGTCAAATAAATTCAAGAGGAAAAGAAAAAAGAGCTGGAGTATGAAATCTTCTAGTTGGAATTTCTATGGATCTTTGTCTTTAGATCAGGGAATTAGAGAGACATTGACTTTTTTTTGACATTGAATTTTTTTTTTAATACAAAGTCATATGATACAGAAAAATGTTAAAATGAACCCAGCAAGGTGGGCTCAGTTTCTCATTAATTACCAGGAGGGTTTTCACTTAGCACTCACCCTATTGCAAACGCTACATGCACATCTCTCTTTACATTGATGTTACTTATGAGTTGAAGATGTATGACATCTCTATTTCTCTATGTTCCTCCTATCCAACACATGTTACTTCCCTGTCTAAACCTCAGAAATTGTGGAAAATGTCCCTATCAAAAAAGAAAAATAAATAATTGGCTGTATTAGTTTAGTCTTTATTACTTTGTTGGAAATCTTCCCAATCCATTTCCCAGAACACCTTTCATGCTTTTGAGTTAAAAGCTGAGCAGTACTTTAATAACCAGTGGAAAGGACATTAGAGGGCACTCTAGCCCAACTTTCCATCCAGTTAAAGGTCCTGGGTGGAATCCTACATCCTTGCTTCTCTTTAATACTCTAGTAGTAGTTCCTCTTCTAAAGCACCCTCTGAAGAGAGAAGTAGTCTCTCTAACGTAGGAAAAAGGAGTAATTCCTGAAGAAGGGTCAGCAACATGAAGACCTTACCTTGCTTATTGGTACATTGCCCTCACCTCACTTTTACTCCTCCACTCGTTTTCCCCAATAGAGCCTTAAACAAGTAATAGGCCCAGTTACAGGATCTTAAAAAGTGTCCTTCAATTTTGGCGTCTGTCCTCAGCCCTCACATTTCCTTCAAACAGTCTGTGGAAGTGGTAGGGGTTGTTTGTTAGTGAGGTATTTGGCCCAGGAGCTTGTAATCTTTGTATAGAAGGAATTTATTTAATCATCCCCCCTCAACTGATGGAGTGTGCAAATGTTAAGCTTGGGTTAAATGATGCCATTAGCAGATGGCACTGACACAGACATGTTTTACAACCTCTGATGTAGCCCTTACGCCCATGAGTGATCTACAGCAAAGCAATAAATAACATTTACATGAAGTATCTGAATAGGTCACAACATAGTCAGAGAATGACAAATGAAGATGAGCCATAACTTAGTTAGCACCCAGAAATGATTCTCAGGGAGGCTAATTTATCTGGTCACTGACAAATAACTAAATTTTCTTCTGCCCACATCTCAAGTGCTGACACTTTTCTTAGATATGAAAGGTTATTAGATTTCATTTTAGGAGTTGAAGAGCAGACATTCAGTCAAAGGAAATGTTAGCGTAATGTATGTCTCACCCCTCATACATTACTGCTTTGGCTGCCTTCTGCCAGTCCACACCCACCGATTCCATTTGTACATTGTGCATGCAACTAACACTTGACCAGTTAAAACTAAAAACGTGATCCTGAATATGACCAGCCTGAAAGAGCTCATTTTCTTCCACAAATATGTTACCTATAGTTTTCATTTTCATTGGCATTTCTTCAGATTATCAAACTGGATTTTCAAAATTCATTTTAGTCAAATTCTAATTTTAAAAATAATTATCAAAGTGGAAAAAATATGCATGCATGATACTAATTAAATCAGATTTGTTACTAAATACTTCACATAAATAAAAATATTAATTTGCTTACTAGGCAAGGGAGATACCATGATCATAAATGTGGTTTTCCCAGGGTGAGGCTTATCCATTACATTCCATATGTGCTGACCCCTGTGGTTTCCCCAAATGTGGGACACTCGACTGTGTAATTTGTGATGGGGGATCCAGCATTAATGCTCTTCTATGAAAAAAAAAATTGACATATTAGGAATAAAGATTTCATATATTATATGTATGTTAAATTTATTTATTTATTTAACTTTAAAAATTTTTATTGATTTCAGAGAGGGAGAGAAAGACAGAAACATCAATAATGAGAGAGCTTCATTGATGGGCTGCCTCCTGCATGCCCCCTACTGGGGATCGAGTCTGCAACCCTGGCATGTGCCCTTGACCAGAATCAGACCTGGGACCTTTGGGTTCGATGGCCAACACTATATCCATTGAGCCAAACTGGCTAGGACCTAAATTTATTTAAAAAAAACTAGTGTGACTAAAAACATAATGGCTTCATATTTTCCCAAAATGATTTTTTTCATTATAGCAATGAAATAAAGAATTGATGACTTAATAAAATTGATTTTTTTCTATTGTTTACTAAGTTTTCTTCTAATGTAAAGTTCTACACAAAATCAATATCTTACAACATATACTCTGTGCTAATTTCTATATGTATAATAGTGTGATACCTACTATATTTTCCGGAGTATACGACGACTATTGAAACGAAAAAAAGCCTGCTCAGATTGGCCAGAGTCAGAGAGGCGGTCTATTAAAAAAAGAACTGGTGTTGCCTCGGAAGTGTGGGGTAGTCTTATACAGCGAATATAGGCCTAAACCTATGTTTTAACTGTAAAATTAGGGGGGGTCGTCTTATATGCCGGAAAACACGGTAGTTAAAATGACTGTTATTTAGGCACTATATATATATTCTCAGCATAAACTTTAGACTAGTTCAACATTATTAAACCACTTAATCTATTAGAAACCAATTAAAACAAAGAACACTTGGAGGAGTTTCTATAATATAATGCTCCATATAGTCAGAAATATTTTTGTAATATTCATTGTAAATCATGAATTGGATAATAAAGGAAAACCTGAAAATTCGTTTTTAATCCATTTTAATATAGAACTATAGATAATCTGGTAGTTTTTATTAACATAATAATTTTATTAGCTCCACAGTATGCAATGTAAGCAGCGTGATGTAATGGCAAGAGCATAGACTTATGAATCAAATAGTTCTGAGTTAGGATTCCAACATCAAATATTAGCTTTGGATAAATACCTACTTTAGTGCTTAAAGCCTCAGTATCATTATTTGTAGAAACATAAATAAAATTAGAATTCTGGTGAGTGTAGATACTGACTGTAGGAGATTTCACAATGTCTAAACTCAGCAATGATTTAAATAATGTAGCTTTACTCTGTCTACTTATAATTATTTGGCTTCTTAAAAATGCAAATTTTTAACCTCATAGTTCCATTAAATTAGTTTCATAGTCTATTCTCAGTAATATTACATTTAAAACCTATTTTTTAAAGTACTACCCAAGACATTAGGCATTGAAATAATTAGACATAGGTATTAGTCATAGAAATAATACTTCATGCTCATGGAAAAGACAAGAAATTACAATAAATTCTTCTGACCTATAGTAAATATAATAGTATTCATAATTCATCTTCAAATATTTTCCCATATCATTTATTCTTTTTCTCTCACTTGGATAAAGTTTAGAGAAATTGGACCTATATATCTAAACTCATCACTATTTACATTTAAGTTAAAATATGTACACAGATAATAATTTAATTAAAAAATATTAAAAAAAGAATATATCATTTTAGGTTTGTTTTTTGTTTGTTTGTATGTGCGCATATATGCATATGTATATGCATGCATATGAATCTGCATGTATCTATTTGTCTATGAAAATATAATTTTGATCACAAAGAGTAAATACTGTTGCCTGCTATTAAACTTGCTAAATATATCATGAATTTGTTCCATATGACTGATATTTCAATATATGTAGATTTTAAACAAGTTTCTTGTAGATAATCTGCCTCCAGGTAAGGAAATGCTTATATACTTGTACCTACCAGAATGGATATTAGATATGGTTGAGAATTAATACAATTTAGGGGAAATTTAATATTTTAAAATTTTATTTAAATTCCACAAGGAAAGGATTGCTAAAAACAAGATACACTTGACAACCAGGCCTGTGTTGCTCAGTGGTTGAGGGTCAACCCATTAATCAGGAGGTCATGGTCATGGTTTAATTCCTAGTAAGGACACAGGTTCTGGCTATGGGCTTGATCCCCAGTAGGAAGCATGCTGGAGGTAGATGTTTCATGATTTTCTCTCATTGATGTTTCTGTCTCTCCCTATCCCTCCCTCACTCTGAAATTAATAAAAACATATTTTTTAAAAACCACTAGACAATTGAAATGTTTCCATTCAGACTATTCCAGTGATTTATAATAGAACACCTCAAAGTAAAGGAAGAGAGCCTGAGGTCTTAGAGTGGCAGGTAAATAAGGGAATCTGAGGAAGAGTGGAGGTGGCTTATTTAAGTCATTTGGAAAGGATGGAAGTGGGACTTATCAAAGTCAAATTGTGAGAAAGGAGATTTTGCAGTTAGCCCTTTTCCAGAACCCAAAATCAGTGGATTGATAACCATTACTCTTTTCTGAAGTATAGCACTTGAATAAAATTAAACATTGTCAGGCCTCATGAACAAGGTATGAAAAAGAAGTTGTAAACTTGTGGCAAAGCTAATCTGGATAATTTTGGTTAATGTAGCTATTCTTTTTAATTTAGCATAAAGATTAAGTATAAATGAAATACTTGCTCCAAATATCAAATATATATTAGTAACTCAATTTAAACTATAATGGATTAACATAAATGAGCCAGAATCATCAGATAATAGGTATAAGTGAAATCTAATTATTATCCAGACTTCAAGTCTTTGGTATCAATAATTCTCCAGTAGGTTAGCAAGATTTAACTGTCATTTCAAAATGCCCATTGCTATCTTGTATTTCAATAGAATCACAGAGAAGGGAGTTTGGGGTTTTACCTAAAAAAAAAAAAAAAAAAAAAAAAAAAAAAAAAAAAAACAAAAAAAAAAAACCACACACGTGACTCTGCATGCCACCCTACTCTGTCCATAGACCACTGCCCATGCCACTCCCAGTTACCCACACAGACCTAATACTACCAATAATGCTTCCAGGCTATTGCAACCATTATGACATTACTCATCACAAACACAGAACTTTCTTTGAATTTGATTCCAAAGACTTGCATATACTAGCACATTTAACAAGATCTTACTAATAATCTCAGGGGCAAGAGAAGAGCGTTATGCAGGGGAGTAAATTCACACAGCTCATCTAAGGCTATTTCCTCTTTCCTAGAGGAATTCCCATTAAATTATTAATTCTTTGATGTTGTAAATAGCTTTAATATGTTTCCCAATGGTGAGTGTGGTTCTCTTTCTTACCCTCTGCTCAAATTCCTCAAGGAAATTTGCCTATAAAAATATCTCATAGGAATGATTCTTTTATGGGGGGGAAAAAGTCATCATTGAATAGATGATTCAAACAAATCAGGTGTAGCACATATAAAGCAGTTGCTGGTCAATTACTCTGATATAATCCATATGGAATCCAAATGGGTCAATATTCTACTTGCACATTTCCTCTTGAAGGCTTATATAACCCTTCATCGATTTAGATATGCTAGAGTACATAGTGTGGTATCACAAGCCCCAAATCTGAGTGGCTTAACAAACTTTATGTCTCACTTAAATAACATATCCTTTGAGGCCATGTCATATTTCTGTTATGCGTCATCCTAATTATGCAACTTGGGCTTATGGAGTTGTCTTCAACTAGAACAATGTACATTTCCAGAGGTAGAGAATGAAAAATTAAAATTTTCACCAAGAAGAGGCACACATTGATTCTGCTTTACTGTGTTGGCCAAAACAAGTCACATGGCCCCACTAAACTAATGGGATTTGTTAAAGCAAAATCTGCACTGAGCAAGTTAAATAAATAGGCCAGGAGGATTTTACAGGAGGCTGTTATAATAGGGTTGAAGGGTAGAGCTCACCCTGTTCTCAACTCTACTGAAAGAAAGAACTTGAGAATCTTTTAGGCCATCTGTGTTTGCTGAGTGACTTTATCCACTGGAAAAATCCAGTTTCTCTTATCTTCATGCCAGGAGATAGTTTTAACAGTTGCAGCAAGGTAACTGCCAAAGTTAGACCATTACCCTTCCACAGGAACTAGGGGTCAGAGATGCTGTCTTCCTTGATGATTCCATTTCAGAGGTATTGTTCTTAAGTCCTTGAGAAGGATATTCCAGGGTTGTAAAACTGAAAGAAAGAAGAAAAAAAAAAGCTTTTTAAAAGATTTACATCTCAAAGGGGCAGAGAAAGAACTTATAATTATGTTTCTTATAGTAAATGCTCTAAGAAAAGATAAGTCAAGGACTTAGAGACAGGAAGAAGCCTGTCTAAAGTTTAGTCAAGCTGAAAGAAATGTCTTGGTTAGATCTGAGAACTCCAGTCTTACTGTGGGTTTGAGCAGAGAACTGGAGCTTTTAGGTGGACACTATTAGTGCTACCACCAACACAAAAACTTTTCATTGTTAGTTGGTGACTATCCTTTTGTGAGCTTAAGTTGAGCCTCTTTTAAATTTCCTTCCCTGCCACTACTAGTGAAAAAAATTTGGTTTCCATGGAAATGAAAGTACTAAAAAGTACTAAAATGAAAGTACTAAAAAGGAGGGTACTATTTCCATATGGAACTCTAAATGGTTTCACCTACCTACTGGTTCAAAGCTACTGAACCCTTCCTCCATTAACTGCACTGAGTGTACAATCCTTGAAAAATTTGACCTGTAGTCATTTGGCTTTCTATCACTGACACTCAACTCAAAGCCAGCCACTGCAATTTTCTCTTTTAATTACAGAAATGATTTATATACTGTAATGTCTTAAGAAAACAGAGCCACTTGGGTAAAAAAGAATCCAGACAAGTACTTCAGTCATCACAGCAAAGAGAAACCCTGGAATCATTTATGCTAGATCCTGAGCAAATAATCACAGCCTCTTTTTGAGAAGTTTTAATCCTATTCCCAGTATACCTCCTTAATAATC